TAAAATGGTGGATGTAGAGTAAATAATGTAGTTATTAGAATACTGTATTACCGGAAAATCAGATTTGTGGGATCTAAAAGCAAGGATATTATTTTTATTTTAACTTTGGAGAGGAAACATCTATATGGAGCTACTCAGCTGAGGAAGCTGTGTTCCCAATTAATAATGTAACACACTAAACAGGTCTATGAGAAAAAACGCTTAAAGTTTTATGACATTTTGACCATCGCGAAAGGGGGTGTTGTGTATTTATATTTACACTGTAGGGGTAAGATGATGAAAAACTAAAATAATAAAAAAAAATTTAAAAGTCATTCAATAAATAAATCTATGACCTACAAATGTATCTGGATATAAATGTGACGCTAAAAACATTGTCAAGTGGTTAAAAGCTGCAGCTTACAAAGTCAAACGAGAATGGAAGTTTCTCCTAATGTTTAGAGACAACTTCTCAGCTAGAGTTTAGATAACAACATAAGGTGGCCATCATTCTGTCTGGGATTTGATCTCACATATGCTTCCAAGTATTATGTCAATGGACTGCTTACACTTAGACTTTTTCTGCACTGATGAATGCAAACAAGTGCCATCTACATACTAAGTTCTAAAAATGTTTTGGGAATAAAACACATCACTCATTACTTGGGCAAAAGTAAACATAAAAAATGTCAGCATACAGAATATGATTGCAGGTAGTGTAATGAAAAGGTAAAAGTAGGCTATTATAGGAAATATAGCCTACAACATTTAGCCTACTAAATTTTGCAGCTTAGGCAGTATAGCCATGGGGGGGGGGGGGGGGTAATTACAAAGCAATAGTTATTTAAGTGTGACTTAAGTGCATAGGTTCACCACGCAGCCATATTATCCTGAATAACTTGTGTCCTCTAGGCTACATAGTAATTTAAATTTCTTCTGGGATAGAGGATGTCTCTTCCATACATATATATATATATACACACACACATTAGATATTTAACGGCAGCAGGCCAACTGCTCTGCCACTTAACATCATAATGGCAAAACCCAACACAATGGTAGATCTACGGTATTAGTGTAGTGTCGGTTCACACACAGGATTATCGCTGTGGTAAGAGATGCACAGATTAAAGTTTTCCTGGCTGATTCCAGAAGTCTGACCTGCCGATTCTAATTGTAGCCGATTCCGATTTTATTTCTTTGTAAGATCTATAACTGACAGCATACACAAACATTTTTGTAACTATTTATTGGAAAAATCTATTTTCCCCCATCAGCACCAGTATAAATGTTAGCTATTCTCACTGGTCTCAATTGTATTGCCATAATGAAACACTGATTATAAAATAACGTTTTCTCTGGAAGGAGCTGAAAATAAATTCCACAAAATTTTAATTCTACTTAATTCTCCAATTTATTTTTGTATTTAATCACAACTACAGTAATCTGCTCACTTTGCTTTTCCCATCAGACACACAAGCACACACCTACACCTGTCGTCTCTCTCTGTCTGCTCTGATTTTATTTGTCAGCAGTTTTATTTAAAAGAACTCTGTATGGTTTTTCCGCTATTCCGTTTTCACAGCAGCAGATGAGCCGCGTGTGGAGACTTGTTGTTAATTACAGAGACCACCGTGGTATGACTGACATCATCACCGACAGCTGTGTTAACTCTTTACCTGCCCCCTGCTTTACAACATCCACAGCGTCTCTTTCTGTGTGTTTCTCTGCAGAAGTAAATAGTGAGCGTTGCGTCTTCTTCACTCTCGTGAATAACTTCCACACACCTAGGACATGTTTGGCCTGTGTGTGTGGATGTGACATGAGGTTACTGTCTGTGCACACATGTGAAACACTGCGCAGAGCAGCGTGTTTGTAACGTTAAACGTGACAGGCAGAAAATTGGATAGCCTGTTTGACACTGCTGGACCCGGTCACTGGTCAGAGCCCAGTAAGCGAAAATAAAACGCCTATTTCAGTCCCCAGCTGATTAATCTGCACATCTCTAGCTGTAGAAGAAGAGTTACAGTCCAATAAGCCTTTAAATAAGATACCAAATAATCTAGGTAATGTTATAATAACAGCTAGGTAATGTTATAGTAATAACAGAGTGGGCAATGCCTCCGTGCCAACAGGAAGTGCCCCGTGCTTTGAAGTAACTTTTACTAGGGCCAAAACAGCAGCTGTAACATAGTGGCGCTGGAAGACATTTTCGCTTAGGTGCTGCAGAGTAGAAATGCCCGCATACAAAAGTTATGCAATTACAGCAATGTATTGCTTTTTGCAGTAATGCAGTTATATAACACATAACTAAAAATAAATGGTAATATTTTACCCTTTACAATCTGAGTAAGGCACCTTACAACTCATTTTAACCCGAAGTTAAGTGATTTTTTTACACCTAGAAATATTTTGGCACCAGAAAAACAAATCCATGAGTAAAAGAGTAACATATTTCCTGTTGCAGGAATCTGATGGTCGAGATTGAAGGCAGAGTGCAAAGTACAGGAAGCTCGGCTCCTCTTAACAAGATGGTATCTCCCCATCATGCATAGCCTAAATATATTTCTATCGGCTATAGGTGTGTTTGTGCTTTAACTAATTACTTTCATAATTAGAGAGGCTGCTGTCAGTTCACCCTGACCGATCCTGTCAGAGTGTCGGGAGATTCAATCAATGACGTTATGTGGCTCTACCTTGTGCGTAAATGCGCACAGCGTCTTTCTTAATGGGGAGACGATCAGGGGCGTTTCCAGGCTCTTGAAACATTGGGGGCTTTGCCCAGCCCCGTTTTCACAATTTGGGCTTTAAACACTTAATATCCTGTATTCTGGTGAACTTTTCTGCACCAATTTATTGAGGAAATGTCTTTATTTATATAAAAGGAAACACAAAATTCAGTTGACAGGTGACGATTCAAAATACAAAAACTATAGTGTAATATGCTGTTATCAGGCATTCTGTATTGCCGTCAGATATGTGTCTCCTGTAAATTCTCATTTAATTTGATCCCTGCTGAGTCTACATACATGCCTACATGCAGGCCTGAAGTAGCATGTGGCACCTTTTCACTTCAGTGTCAAATTAGCTTAATTAATTTTAATTCACTTATAAACTCCTGGACTTTAAGTGCTCCTATGTTTCAGCAGGTTTTCTGCTTATGCTCAAAACTTTCTGCACATTCAGAATCTCTCCCAAATTTCACATTTGCAGAATAATATTTTGAGACAAAAGTCGTAATATTACAAGAATAAAATCGTTACCTGATGAGAATGAAGTCATAACATTTTAACAAAATCTACCTGCCCACCTGCTGTGCATTGCCCTGCGTTATTGCTCTGCTGATATGGTAGTAGGCTACCCCCTTTAGACCATCTGACAGACACAGAGCCCGTCTGGAACTGTACTGGATGAGACGAGTGGCAGTGGTGGTTCTAGACCAATTTTATTAAGGGGGCCAGGCTGGGGCCAATTGTTTTGTCAGAGGGGCACATTCAATCCGGGACAAAAGAGGGAAAGGCAATGTTTTCAAAATGTCTTATTTAGTATATAATGTAATGTTTTAGTGTGTTTCAGTAACTTACAGTTATTTGTTTCAGTAACAGGATCTTTTCAGTAACTCAATTATAGTTTTATTAAATTACATTATACAAAAACAACATTCCTGTTAACTTTAGCTCACGTTACAGGACATTGTTTGATGCAACACTTCTTTGTAAGGCTTAATGAACAGTAGAAGCTCTAGTGTACGAGACTTCTCTGGATCCCAGTTTGTATTTTGTATCCCACTATAACTTTTGCTAGGAAACAACACACTTCTCCATATTCACCCCTAATTGCAGAATGATGGAGACACCGATGCACAAGTATAAATGAATCGGTACATGTGCAGCCTACGACGTAGCTATGCACATAGACCCTTTGCAGGAGCATAAATCAAGCTTAATGCAACATCAAACTGGGATGCCGGAGTGGAAATTTAGGGATGGGTTGCTGGTAGGACAAATAGTCTTTCAAGTTGAATATTGCCGTAAAACTTCAATTAATAGCCCGGGCAGCTTAAATCACTGAACTCACCCTGCCTCTATCTGGGACAGGCTTCTTTTTGGGACAGGCCTTTAATTAATTTATCATGCCGGTATATATTGTATAAATAATACTTTGGTGCTCATTGTTTTTTGTAAAATAAACTAAACGATTGAATTGTGTAGAATCTAAACAATCTAAGGATGTGTAGCATGTCCCTATTGACAAAGGTTTAAAAATTTATATTGGTATGCACAATCTAAGCAGCTTGGAAGCAGCTCAAGTTGGCGACCCAGTGTGCTTTAAGAGGGTTTATCCATCTAAAGAACTTCTATAAAAAGCAGACAAGGCCTCAAAATGATTGAGACCTGCATTTATTTGTCAAAATGTGCAGCCACATCAAGCCAGTAAAAGGGACAGGCATCTAATTAGGACTAGGCTTTTAATTGAAGTTTTACAGTATTACAGTTAGTGTCTCTATAAAATGACGGGAAGCAAAGATGTCTCATTTCATGAAATGCCTGTTGCTTCCCACTCCTCGACTCGCAATCTCAGGTGGGAGACGCAAGGAGAGGACGCTATGGAAATCATCTAGGTACAAACTTTTTTAATACATAATTTTATAAAAGAGTGTTGAAACATTTTTCAGACTTTACGAGTTTGTGAGTTTTGACATAGCCAACTCTTTAAATTCATATACAAATCCAATGAAATTGGCGGTAGCCTTTGTTATTTTGTGACTAATGAATATGGACCGTACCCTGTAAGATCAACACATTTAGAATTAACTCAATATGACATTTATCATGTTCAGAATACGGATATTTATACACTCACATAATATAATAGTCCAAAAAGTCATTGAATGTACACAGAGGTAAAAGAGATGCTGTAACTGAGAAATGAGAAAGGCCCACAGACTCCACTGAGGTGAGCGACAATTAGAGCTGATCAGCAACAGCCGTGTCACCAGCACAACAGGCCTTTTTAAACCCCACATGTGGCACAGGTGGCATTTTCACTTAGAGACTGGAACAATGGGAGCTCTGCGGGCCTTGCTTGTTTGCGTGTTGACTGTGTGGTTTACCAAAGGTTTATTTTTTATATTTTTCCTCTTTAAAGCATAGGCTGTGTTTACAAACTGGTAGTGTTGTAGCCTACAGCAAATGTAAAAGTAAGGTTACTCTTTCAGAAATCTTGTGGCTACGAGCGTAAGCTATGCCTTCCCATTAGTTCTGAAAATTCCTGAAATGTCATTCAGCTGTAACAAAGTGCTGGTGAATAACGGCACGTGTGCTGTCCTATAGGCTCTGGTTTGCCAGTTGGAGGCACAACAGAAAGTCAGGATGATGAGCTGCAGAGAGTGAGAGGTAAGAACACTGGTGATTAAAATGTTTCAGAGCTACATACTGACACTAACTTGCTTTTTAATGTCTTCTGTACAGAGTTTTTGTTGCAACAAGATGCTGATGGAGGTGAGTAGATTCTGTCTCATGCTTGTAGGGTTTAATAAACCTGCTACTGGCATTTCACAGTAAAAACTACACAACAAGATCTACAACAGTTGATGATCAGCCTAAGCCTACTTCATAATTCAAAATCATGTAAACTATATTTTGGCTAGATGGCCTACTAGCCTATAGCATGATGGATGCAGTAAGAACTTAATACGCTGCTTGTGTTGTCAGACTATAACACGACGGGCCTCACCAATGTGACGAACACGACGGGCCTCACCAATGTGACGGCCACGACCCCAGCGCCGTCTCCGGCCACGACGGGCCTCACCAATGTGACGGCCACGACCCCAGCGCCGTCTCCGGCCACGACCCCAGCGCCGTCTCCGGCCACGACCCCAGCGCCGTCTCCGGCCACGACCCCAGCGCCGTCTCCGGCCACGACCCCAGCGCCGTCTCCGGCCACGACCCCAGCGCCGTCTCCGGCCACGACCCCAGCGCCGTCTCCGGCCACGACCCCAGCGCCGTCTCCGGCCACGACCCCAGCGCCGTCTCCGGCCACGACCCCAGCGCCGTCTCCGGCCACGACCCCAGCGCCGTCTCCGGCCACGACCCAACCCTGATTGTGTCTCGCATGGTCACATTAGGAGGCAATTAAAGTTTGGGACTTGGTGGACCATATGCAAGACTTCTTTTGCCTGTCTTTCTGCATGTACCCTCCCTGTTGTCTCTGCTTTAAATAAAACTTGACTTGAGATCTTTCAGAAAAGGGCACTAAACTGACGTTACTTGATTTCTTACGAATCCCTGTAGGCCTATCGCGTCTCATTCAGAACTTGAATGTGTTGTCAATCAGGAGCATTCAGAGTTCACACAACTGCATCAATTCAACTCAGTAGCTGCTGCCAGGATGGCCTAATCTTTTCAGTAGATTAACCTGATTGTCCACATAAATTTTGGACTTGCAAGGCTGTAGACCCTTGTATGTAAAATCAGACATGGCTGTCAAATTCAGCTATTAATAGCCGATCTTGAGTAAAAATGGCTACGCCCCCGTTAGTGCAAGTATAAAATTGCATCAGTGCTGGTTTTGTACACCCAACTCAAATGGTTGGGCCACAAATTTCCTGCCTATTTAGTCCAAAGACAAAATGTTGTGGGGGTTACGTTGCTGAGGCTGGGTTGGAGAAACTGGCTAGCTTTACTGAGTGATGCTGTGTTCCATTTACCTCAGAGCTGGGATTGATGGCGTTCCAGTTAACAAGTTGGAAAACCTCACTCGGCCAGCTGTTTACAACTAGCCAGGTTAGCTGTTTTGTTTGATCTGTTGGACAGCACTTTATGTACGAACATTTGAGTCCCAAGTACACAGAAGTGCTAATAAACTACAGCTTTCACTAACTGATACCCTGACAGCAATCTTGTATCACAAAGTCGGGGTAGTGCGGTTGTCCCGACTTTCCGAGTCTGAAATCCGACTTCAGGGGGCGATCCAGTTGAAAGTTCCAACTGTCAAAACATGTAAAATGGAACGCACCATGACAAATGGTTTGTGTGTTGTGCATTTTAGGCAAAGTCTTAATGCTGAAACACATGAAATTTGGGACAATTTTCTTTTGCATTTAGGTCTTAACCACATTAGACCAAAACGCTACGCGTAGAGCGGTCACATCTGGACAAGATTGTCCAAGAGGCACAAATAGGCTTTTCCTTGAAAATTTTGTTTCAGATTTATGAGACGTTATTCTCTTTTGCACAGATAGCCTATAGCAAAAAAAATTTTATTGACAATTTTAATCTTTTTTGGAACCATTCCACACATTTATGGACTGATGGGGTTCATCCCAGCAGATCAGGAAGCCGTATGTTGGTTAGTAATATCCAGCACGCTGTACAATGCGCCCCATGTGTCTGACTATTTACGCCACACACCCCCTCCACAGAAGCTGCTACTTTATGTCCACAGCTGCACAGACCTGCACTGTTTCCATCAGTGGCTCCCCCTGCCAGTCACCCTCATCTTTGATTTTGTATGTAAGTATAAACATGCATCACTCTCATATTCCCATAGTAACGATATCTGTTCGGCCACCTAAATCAAAAGTGAACAGAAGAACAGCTGTGCCTAACAACTTAAAGACTAATACAACTGCTCCAAAAGAAAATAATAGCATGAAAATTAAGTGTGGGCTATTAAATGTCAGATCCCTCTCTTCAAAAGCTGAACCGGTTAATGAACTAATATCAGATCATAATATGGATTTGTTCTGTTTGACTGGGACATGATTGTGTAAGCCTCAATGAATCCACTCCTCCCAGTCATAGTAATCCGCACATACCTCGAGGCACTGGCCGAGGAGGTGGAGTATCAGCTCAATTTCATTCAGACCTTTTAGTCAAGTCAAAACCCAAACTAAGTTCTGGCTCTTTTGAAAGCCTTGTTCTCGGTATTTCAAACCCGACCTGGACAACTATGCAGCAGATTTTATTTGTTATAGTGTACCGTGTTCCCGGTCCTTACTCCCAGTTTTTATCAGAATTTGCAGAATTTTTATCTGACTTAGTCCTTAAAACAGATAACGTAATGATAGTAGGGGATTTTAATATTCATGTGGACGTCAAGAATGAGAGCCTCAGCACTGCATTTAGTTCACGGCTTAATTGGTTGGCTTCTGTCAAAGCGTTCATAAACCCACACACTGTTTCAACCATACCCTTTACCTAGTATTAACATATGGTATTGAAATTGAAAACTTGGTGGTCTTTCCTCATAATCCCATTTTATCTGACCACTATCTATTATCTTTTGAGTTCCAATTGTTGGACTTCAAGCCACCAAGCAAATATTCCAATACTAGATCCCTATCTGACGGTGTTGTAGTTAAGTTTAAGGATTCAAATGCATCAGTGTGTAACTCAATTCCGTGTTTCATAATACCTCCTATAGACTCCTATGCTAACGTCCATCCCTCACAAATCTATGGTACAACAGTCAAACACGCAAGTTAAAGAGAGCATCACAGAAACTTGAGAGGAAACGGCGTCTTACACATCATGAAGATTCTCATTCAATGTGGCAGGATAGTGTGAAAATGTATAGGAAGGCCCTCCGCAGCGCCGGAGCAGCCTATTACTCAAAATGAATAGAGGAAAATAATAATTATAATCTTTATTTGTAGAGCACTTTGTGTTTATGTGTAGTAATGAGATCAGAAAAATAGCGTGTTCTCGCATCCTTAATGTTATGTAGTTGGTTAATAAATCCTTCAGACTGAGGTAATGGACTTGGAGACTGGATTTTTCCATCTGCGCTCTGCTTTCCTGCATTCCCTTTTTGGGCTGCGAATGCTGTCTTTTATCCAAGGTTGCTTACTAGCTTTAGACGTAGGCCTAACCTTTAGAGGAGCAGTAATATTTAGTGACAACAAGCAGATATGATTGAAGAGATCAACTAGATTGTTGGTGTTGGAATCAGACAGGTGTTGGCTTTGGCTCTGAAAGAATGTGCAAAACGTTTAAACACTTTGTTCATTAAAGCTGATATTGTACAACTGTATACTAACAAATACAAACAAAAATTCAAGAAAAAGACAACTTTGGCTATTTAGTTGAACTTTGACCTGACCAAGCAGTTCTTCCCTCCTATGTTTTATGAGAGCAGCTTCTCCCCTATGAGTAAAAAGCCTACCAACTGTACTGCACCAAACAATGCGCTTAAAAAAACGTGACTCTTGCTGTTTACATGAATAAATGCACAATATTATAGAGCATGCAATCAACTGCTGTTGCTAACGCATTTGTCTCGGTCCAGGTGTATTTATTTATTTTCATCTAATGTCACCCTGGTATAACGTTAGTGCTGCATTATGCTACTGATCCGACCGTTCTGAAAGATCTATAGCCAACTCTTACTTCCGGGTCACCTGGCTCACCGGTCTCTTTTCTTAACTATCTTCAAACGGAAAATGAAAATAGGAATTTCATAAAACCAAAATCGGACCATTATTTGAATTTGGTTTAGTTGTTTTTGGATTTAGAAACCAAAAATGGGAGAACGTGTCTTTTTTTTTTTTTCGTTTTAGTTTTTGGTTTGAAACGACAAACGAAAAAAAAGGTGGTTTATTCGTTTTGTGGTTCAAACGAAAAAACAAACTATCAGAACGTACACGGACCAAATAATTTAGAGAGACTTGAGCGTTTTCGTTTTTTGGGAATGGATTTTATTAACATGGAGAGAACATATTAGATATGGTGTCAAAAAGGTAGGCTATAAATGTCATGAGGTGGAAGTATACGGTTCAGTAATCTGTATTAGCAGACCTGGATGTTATACAAGCTTGGGCTTTAAGAGTGAGTTTAGAAGCGGTTAGGACCTCCCCTGTATGTGCTCTCCAAGTTGAAGCAGGTGAAATGCCACTGTGGTTGAGACGCAGGAGTATGATAAAGAGTTTGGCGCAAATGTGGTGTGGCCTATTAGACCTGTCGGGAATTAGAAACACCATGGGTAGATTTGGAATTACGTAAGATTAAATGCAATAATAAAACTGCTGATTTAACTATGTATATTATAGCTATAGGGACAGTAAGGAAAGTATTCAGATTTTTACAGATGGGTCAAAGGACATGCAAACAGATGCAACAGAGTCTGCAGTTGTTGTTCTTTTATCAAGTAGAACATCTGAAAATCTGAGTGTTTACAGTTGAACTGTTGGCAATATTGATGACTTTGGAATGGATAGAACAAATTAGTTATAAGGAAATATTAATATGTAGTGACTCTGCAGCCAGAAGTCACCTGGACCTGCTGTATGAAGTCCCCGGTGAAAAAGTTGTACTTTTTCTTGATGCACTTATCACATTTTAATTGTACCATACTAAGTGTATATTAAATGTGTTATTTTGGAACAACTTAAAGTATGTTAAGTGTTCTTTTAGAAATACTTAAACTCAACTTTAAAATAATTGCAATATATTTTAATATACTTAGCTGTGTTAAAATGGAACAACTTTAAATAAATTTACTCTAATTTAAATATACTTATTTAAACTTTTGTGCTAACAGCTTAAATATGTTTTGAACATTATTATTAACATTTCTGATTATTAGTTTCTTACTAGTATACTCCAAGAGCCGCTATCAATATACTACAAAGCTGCTTTATGAAACCATTCAGTAAGACAATAATTCATTATTAATGCATTAAAAATACCTTGCTGAATGCCCGTATAGCATAATAAATATCAGTAAAAAAATGTATTTTAAAACACACACATACAGACAACTAGAAAACTTTAATCTTCTGTACATTACAAAAATAAATTCCTGGACAATAAAAGGTACAGCAGACCAAAACACGTTGAAATAAAATAAAATGAAATGACCAGTATTACTTAACAAGTTGCAAACTATTGGTAAAGGGCATTCATTATTTACAAAAAGTGATCTGCTCCTGGGTCACAGTGCAAGTCAACAGAACAGGCTTGTCATTTTCTTACATTAGTACTTTGAACCTTCCCCCTACTGTCAGGAGCACTCATCATTTAATAATATAAATTTAATTAAACTGGACTCAGACTTGTTTCTACCGAAATCATGAACCGCTAAACTCGTGCGCACAGATTGCAAAAAAGGCGAATTTTACAGTATTTTATCCAATAATGGCTTTGATACTGACCTGACAGCATTGATTGCCTGTTTAATGTCAAAAAAATGATACTGTAACCATTATAACGTTAGGCAGTGCTGGCAGAGGAGAGGCATAATTTATTGACCACACAAGATAAGATTAATTCACACTTTATTTATTTTGGCATATGACAATCGGTGATCGTATGAGAACATATTTCGATTCAATTTGAGAATTTATTTCCACACGGTAGCTAAGAAATAAAGTCCTGCAGCTAATTGGCTGGTTCGTGCAAGATTGATTGATTGCTGCGTGTGCAGACGCCTGCTGCACGCGTGGGTTTGTGTTCCAGTTCCATTGCCTCTGACGCGTGATCGGCGCTGGTTGTAAATGATTAATTGCTGTGATCGTAATGAATGTTCAATTATTTTTATACCCCTGGACAATGAAATGATGAATGTCTTTATATGTTGTATGTATATGCTGACGTTCTCAATAAAGTCAATAAGGGAAATTTGTGGCTGCCTGCAGGACTTTGTGTTTAAATTCAAATTCCTTTGATGTGTGACGCTGTGCTTTGATGTGAATCAATACACGTGATGTCATATAGTCCTGACTATATAAAGTGTGCTGGTAACTACATTCTACATTCAGTTTTCACTCTTGACAAGGGACTTCCAGGCCACAGTCAGAAACCATAGTGAGGTAGACAGTAGTGAAAACATTAAGCAAGATACAATTTCCACGAAAATTACTTACTCTACACATTACTAAACACTTTACAGTAAGTTTCAAATAAACGGAAGAAAAGCAGAGCTTTGTGAACAGAACATACCAAAATGGACCAAACCGGTTTCCAGATGGACAACACTATCACACCTCTTCTGCCCATCGTAATAAAACATTTCGCAAGAATATCTACAGCACAGTGGAACATGTTAGCTGAAGGGACTTTGGACTCAGCCACACAAGCTACAGTGGCTGATGGGATACTCTCTGTGGACATCTTGACGAATATGACAGTGTTTCAGGAGCACATGCAAAAGAGTGCATCTCAGGCTGCTGTGAGTACAGTTTTGGAGAACTTCAACACTCAATTCAGAGACTCCCTCCCTGGTAGCATTGCTTGTGCTTTTCAAGTCCCACAAGACAAATGTGAGAGTGCAGAAAATATGTATGCTCCACACAAAAGCTCTGAATCTCCAGAAGAGATTATGGAAATGAAGGAACCAGAGAGACGTGAACTGCCTCGGAGCGTAAAATCCGAGATCTCCATCCCCTCAGTGATTGAAGCTGTGACTGACATCCTTGCCAAATGGTCCAGTAAGACACGAGACCTTACAGAAGAGGCTGAAAATGCTGTCCTTTCTCCCAGAACCTCTCTGGAAGCTCATAATGTAGCATCTGACATTGTCAAAACTGTATTAGATGACCTGCATTCTCAGGACTTGGGAGATGTAGCTAGCAGCAGTGACAAAAGATGCTCACCAAGACCTCATTTTAATATAGGGTTAATATTTGATAAAGTGAGAGACTTTCTTGTCTCACAGGCCGCACCTTCACAAGGTACCGCCAGTGCCGACCAAGCAGTTTGCAAACGCAGCTTTTTCAAGTTTGCTAAAAAACAGTTTGTCAAAATGATGAACGAGCTGAAGACAAAACACGCAGACTTCCTTGTGAGACCCAACCCAGATTCCTGTCAGCCTAAACCCATGGAAGAGGATGACTTTGAAGAAGCTATTGATGGCATTTTACCAGGAACTGTTCCTTATTCTCCAAGGCCCAGACGTGCATCTAGTGATCCAACCAGCAACTCCACATTGATCAGCATGAGAGAGCAGCAGTTTTCTCAACTAGATTTTGAGAACATCAAAAAAGATGTTGAAAGCTTGTTTAATAAATTCAACCTTCCAGAGAACGCTGCAGCAAAATCCAACAAAGCGCTGGAAGACATCAAATCCACGGGCGTGATCATGAAGTTTTCAAAGGAGCTGACTGACAAAATATACGGTAATCTGATGGCTCGCCAGACATATAAGATTCCCACGGTCCAAAGGGTGAGAAGTGCCTCTGCCCCTGTCAGGACGAAGGCATATACCGCCACAGAGGACGCAGTGCAAAAGTTCTTGCAGCAGCTGCTGCTCTGGATGGAGATCAGCGATGAAGTGGTAGGTGCCTTAACTGACATCAAAGACCTAATCACAACAGTGCTGACCCCACCACCAGAAAATGCCCCTATCAGGCTGGAGTGCCCTGAAGCCAGCAACAGGCAGACTTCAAGAATATCATCTATTAATGATGATGAAGTTTCTGCATCCGTCTGCATGGATTTTGATGGTGAGAACTTGAATGTCAGGGTTCATGTTGACAGTCAGCAATTGCGCAAATGCAATGTCGAGGTGACTTCAGGAGCTCCTGAAGAAGTAACCTCTGAACCCAGAGCAATCAATTACACCTGTACTCCAGTGCGTGAAGGTGGGGATCTGTCCGCAGTGTCAAATGATTCCTCTTCTTCCACATCAGAGCAGATGACCAGCAAATTCATCACTGACCTGCTCATGAGGCTTGTCACAAAGGCCCCTTTGAAAACCAAAAGGTCCATGCAGATGGCAGACGTCAACGCCATCATCAAGCGTCTGTCAGACAAGGTAGTGGATGAGATCAAATTCACTGGCCCTGTTGTTAGAAAAACCAAGAACTCCATGACAATAGTCAACAAAGCCATGATTAAAGACCTTGACCGGGAGTTTGGCTCTCCAAGAAAGATACTGGAGGCTGCAATGGCATCAAACCATACATCTTTTGATGATGCTGTTGTGAAGTATCTGAAAATCCATATAAATGCCCTCTTCAATTCACCCCCAAAGAAGTCCGCAGTTGCCAGGTTCTTTTCAGCAGTGGGAAAAGCTGCAAGCACGACCTTCACGTGGTGCATCATGTGTTGTGGTCCAGTAGCTTACAGCTCAGCTGTCTCACACTGACCTGAACCTTTCTCACAGCGGCCATTTTGACGTACAGTAGCAGTTCTGTTTCTGATGGCAGATGGCGCCTTAGCCTCTGCCTCATAGTGTGAATGGGCTAAATGTGATGTAGTGTAAAAGTGCTTTTAGTGGTCGTAAAGACTAGAAAGGCACTATACAAGTACAGATCATTTACCATTTACACTTGGGTCAAAATGTCCGCTGTGAGAAACGCTCAGTGCCGCACTGCAGCTCAGTGTTTAACACTGTGGCCTTACAGCAAAGATCTGAGTTGGACTCCCTGCCTTGAGCTTTGCTGTATGGAGTTTCTATACTCCCCGTGTTGGCATGGGTTTCCTCTGGTTGCTCCGGTTTCCCCGCCTATTTCAAATTTTTAAAAATCATAAAATCAATAAATTAAAAAAAAACTAAAATAGTGTTTGATTTTGGTTGTTTTTTTCTCTGCTCTCAGATTGGTTGAATCTGACAGTATTTTTTGCATTGAGTGCACGTGTCATTTTCAGCTCAATACAACAAATTGAGCTTCACAATGGAACAATGGTTTTTCTCAAACGTTTTCATTTCAAGGACCCCTAAACTGCCACAAGTTAGACCACAGATCCCCATTTGATAAGATTTTTTCCCAGCATCCCCCATCTGAAAGGATTTTCAATGTTTTATTACAGAAATTGTATGAATCCCAAATAGTCAAATATTCTGTCATCGTGTTTCATGGAATTATAGTGAAAATAAATATAACTAACTATCGTCAGTCTCATCTATTGTCACGACTACAATAAGGCCCATGAAAGCGGCTTGGCTGTCTCTTTAGATAAAACGTTTTTATTCTTCCAGTGCAACTAAATGCAATCAGAGTCCGAAGATGTTCTCACTTACACATGAAACACAAATTGTGTTACTATCCCAACATTTTGAACATGCAGCATTATTTAACTAATCTCTTCTCCCTTACAGGACGTGGTGACGCAACTCAGACAGCTGCAGGACGATCTGCTGAGGTTAAAGAAATAAAATAAAAAGGATGAACAACCTGCTACGGCAGTTGACACTTTGCCCAACTTTGCTCTGGAGTCTCAAAGTGAGACATCTAAATCATCAGCCATTTTCATTTGTCAGATCGTAATTCACACTTACGTTTTAGTTTATAGATTGCTTTCTTATTTTCTTTGTGTGTGCTTTTGTGTGCAGTAGCCAGTGTTTTATTCCAGCTAGCCTCAAAAAAGTACCCGACACAAGAGGCAGGACAGACATTTTTTGGGGATGCCTGTCTGGCGACCACCTGTGTGCCCAAGGACTGTTATTCAGGTAGGAACTACAAACACAAAACAGATGGCTCTATGATAATAGCTGACATTGGTTTACTGTCTATTCTTTTTTTATACATAAAATATCCTACACTCTCTGTTTCATTCTCTTTCCTCAGGTACACTCCCCTCTGGTCCTGGAGTTTTTGTGAAGGGGAATCAGACTCCACACATCTAAAATATTATCAAATGTGTGCATTTTCATGGGTGGGAAACCAGTAAGCCAGGACTGGTGTTCAGTTCTGGTTCTCTCTCCGTGTTTGCATGGGTTTACTCCGGGTGCTCCAGTTTCATCTCACACTGCAAAGACATGCAGATTAGGTTAATTGAATGTATGCATTATTAAAACAATATAGACTTTTTTTATTTACTACATGTTTTTAATAATGTTTATGCTTGTTTTGTTATTTATTTGAAATCCTTAATATATATAAAACATATCATTCCTCCATCTTACAAAAATCACACCCAGGTGAAAAAGAAATATACTTAAGTTCGTACGTTGAAGAGGACTTGCACAGCCGACGCTGTGGTATTTAGAAACTGTTATGGTGTGGACAGAGTGGACCCAAAAGCAACGCTCAGGATGAAAAGTTTTTATTTAGGGAAAAAGGGGTTGAGGGAGTGGAGGTGAGGGAGAGGTGGATGCCGGGGAAGCACGGGGAACCGAGGCGACTTAGACAAGGGAGCCGGGAGCCACTGGGGACCGAGGAAGAGAGGAGGCACGGGAGAAGTGACCGGGAGGGTTGGTGGAGGAGTGTGGTGGCAGGCTGACTGGCTAAGCACGGGGAGGAGCCAGGAGGAGGTCCGAGGGGAGAGGGCAGGGTGGCGAGCCCAGCTGACTTGACAGAGGACGAGGGTGAGTGAACCTGGGGGAAGGCAGACAGACAGGGTTAGACACAGGGACAAACCAAGAATAGGGAAACGGAGATGAAGGAAAAAAGGCTTGAGGCAAACGGTGACACCAGGTCTGGAGCAACAACGATCAAGCAGCGATTGACTGGAGAACCGGGGTTGAAGTACTGTCAGAGATGAGGCTGATTGCTGGCAGGTGTGGCAGGCAGAGGAGGTGGCCGATGAGGTGCAGGTGCGGACTGTCAACTGGCTCAGGAGCAGAGAGAGAGGGAGAGCACACACAGGGGGAAAGGAGGAGACACAAACAAGCAGGCCAAAACACCAGGGGAAAACATTATTTTGTTTAATTTTACAAGCAAAATTTACCTCTAATTAACCACCTAGCATTGTCAGATTTTTTATTTTTGTTCAAAGTTGCTGAAACACAATATAACATCATGTAATATGTCATCATGTCTCACTGTTCTGATAATCCTAACCGTTTAGGTTCAGGTGAAATGTTTTTCAACAAGGAACCCCACCCATTTAATGCTCAGTTCTTCCATTACAACATGATCAAAAACATTACATAAACACTTCTGTACAATCAGCCAAGGGGCTGTATGATAAAATGTTATTAAACAGGTACAAAAAATAACATAACATAAAGACCTGCTTAACAACTGTGCTGTCAACATGTCACATTAACACAGCAGTCAATATGTGAAGTACAAAAGTAGCCAATTTCTTACACCTATTACAGTATTTTTAATCTATTTATTTTTTCACAAGAAAAGAGCAAAAACATGCAGGAGCCAGACATACCTACGAGCACATTCAGCTTTTGAGGGTCCAGCTGGCCCTTTGAGGTTTGAATGCCAGACTTCCCTGTGAACGTGGATTGGGCCAGTATCTCCTTTACAAATATCAGCGTCGAGGTTGTGCTTTCAAACATTTTCTTGAGGACCGTAACATCAGAATCAGCAAGAGTATTCTGGGTAGAACAAGTAACAATCAGAAGTATTATAACAGTTAACAAAAGTAAACACCAGATACTACTGGATTATTGGAAGTGGTCATACATACACACACACAGACAGACAAACAGAGAGATGGAAAGACAAATTCTTATTACAGCTATAACAATTTGATTAGGACAAGGTATTTTTGGTGAGCCACTTTTCATGGCCTCCTTAAGACATCATAGAGTGAGGCAACGATCCCAGAAAGCTCCCTAAAGTTAAAAATACAGTAGCAGATAAAGTTAAATATTCACAGCTACGGCAGTACTTCCACCTAGTGTAGTTCTTCATTTGCATATCTTGATTAAACACCGATTCTTATGGCAAATTTTTCTTATCATTTATTATTTGATTTTGTTGAGCTAAGGCAGGAAATTCAGACCCACATCTGGGCCCAGGATTAAGTTGGTTAAATTTGGCAAATGGTAGGTTGAATAAAGGATATATGACCATACAAATGTACATAGAGATGAGCAGTATTTTATATAACATCACATGCTATTATATAGTGTGGTCATGCATTGCAAGACACAAAAACATTATTTCACAAAAATGACGACTGTAGTGATGTCTCTACAGAAGATAAGGGCAAGAATAATGATTACAGTAATCGATAACTTCTTCAATGTAAGTATGGACATTAGCGTATTCTATTATAGAAATGTTAACCTATTCTTCAGCATATAGACAGCATTATAATAATTGCATTTATACTCTGATAATGCCCTCACTGGTCATCTCAACAGTACAAAAGCTGAATTGAGTGCTCACCCACACGCATGCACAGGCCTGCCTACATTCTCAACCATCAAATTACAGCAACAGGTAGAAATGTTTTGCAGTAGAAAAATCTTTTGTGGTGTTTTTGAATTATATATGCATCCATGCATCCATCCATACGTCCATCCTAATTTCGGGGTAAAATGCTTTGTAACAAGCATTACGCGAGATTGTAACTGGTAACATTACCAACATTTTAATAGTAATGCCTTATTTAAGGTTATTGCGTTACAGCAAAAAGCAATACATGACCGTAATTGCGTTTCTTTAGTTACGCATTACTCCCATCACTGGTTCTAAGGCAGACAAAACTTGCTGTCTAGATTATGAAGCTATTAAGATGCTAGTTAACTAAAGTCAGCTAATAACTATCAGAAAATTAGTTATAAATCCACATGTTAGCAAGTATTAGCTAATGCACACCGGCTATCTAACTAGGAAAAGTATTTTCAAACCCAGAGTGAATTCAATGTTAGTTAGGCTACACAAATGTCGTGTTTTGCTAACAATAATCAACTCACCCCAAAGAAGGAGGATTTTTGCCGTCAGTATCTGCATCTGTACTCTCCTGCTAAGTTAGCACTTGCCAGGCACACCTCTCTTCACATTGAAGTTGTGTGTGGCCTGATATTCCTCTTCTCTTCTGTGCTCTTTTCTTATTTTGTCTATGGTGTCCACCTTTGCCATGTCCGAGTCGGGAAAGTAAAACAAAGCAAACCTGGGAAACAACATGCTTTTCTGGCCAAAATTAGCTTCCCTCTCAATAACAATACGTTAACTTGACACAGTAACCTGACCGTGAGGTACTCGCAGCGGACTTTCACGCAGTGTGATTGGGGCGTCGATTTGAAAACCTTGATTCTGATTGGTCCAATTGAATTCACTGCGCTAGTGTAGCCTATACATACACTAGCGCAGGGTGCAGCATTGTATACACTGTATGTAAGGTGGTAGCCTTTGTTATTTTGTGACTAATGAATATGGACCGTACCATGTTAGATCAATACATTTAGTATTAACTCAATATGACATTTATCATGTTCAAAATACGGATATTTATACACTCACATAATATAATAGTTTTAGTCCAAAAAGTCACTGAATATACACACAGGTAAAAGAGATGCTGTAACTGAGAAATGAGAAAGGCCCACAGACTCCGCTGAGGTGAGCGACAATTATGGTGCGTTCCACTTGACATGGAAAGTCGGAATTTCCTAGTTCCCAGTTGGAACTTTCAGCTGGAACGCCCCCTGAAGTCAGGTTTCCGACTCGGAAAGCAGAGGTCTCGTGATCCAAGATGGCTGTCGGGGTATCAACGGTTAGTGAAAGCTGTAGTTTATACTGTTTATTAGCACTTCTGTGTACTTGTGACTCATAGAAATGTTCGTACACAAAGTGTTGTCCAACAGCTGTCTCTGGACGTGTTGCTACAGTGTTTAGTGTGAGTAAATACTGTCGCGGTTCTGGTTTCTCCTGTGCCCTCTCTCTCTCTCTGTGTATGTGCTCTCTCCCTCCCTGCTCCGGAGCCCGGCTGGCTACCCACACCTGCACCTCGTCAACCTCCATTCCCAGCCGCCACACCTGCCAGCCATCAGCCTCATCACAACCAGTATATCTACCCCGGCTTTCCACTCCATCCTCGCTCGATCGTCGCAGCTCCTGACCTGGTGTCGCCGCTTCGTTCTGGCTCTTTCTAAAATTCCCTCTTGCTTCACGTCCCCATAGCTTACTAACCCTGTCTCTCTGTTTCCCCCTGCCGGGTTCACTCACCTCTGCCTCCCAGACCCCAGTCTCCGAGCCCTCTCCTATCCGTCTGCCAGCCTCCCTCAAGCCTCCAACCTAAGTGCCCTCCGTTCCTCCAGCTTCTCGGTTCCCCGTGTCCTCGTCAGCCTCTCCCCCTCCTTCCACCCGCCCTCGCCTCGAACCCCCTTCTCCTCAATAAACCTCTTTCTCTAACCCTCAGCATTGCGTTTGGGTCCGTTCTGTCTCCCACCGTTACAGAACAATCGAGCCACTATGGACCCAGCACGCTCCCCCTCTCCTCCCCCCTCGACCGATCCCACTCCGCTGGAAGTCATCCGCGCCGTCGCCTCCCAGGGAGCGGTCCTCGACCAGCATGCGGCCCGGCTCCAGTCGGTGTCCGATGCGCTCTGCTCCCTGGGCGAGGAGGTGCGGCGTCTCAGTGCGCGGCTCCCCGACCCCTGCTCCACACGCCCTCTGTCCCCCTCTCAGTCTCCTCCTCGTTCGCTCTCCGCCGATTTTGTCCCAAGCGCCCCAGTAGGCGCGTACTCTCCCCGCGAGTCACCCAATCCGACGAGGCTAAGATCTGTTACGTCGCTGGGTTACTCCGCGACCGGGCTTTGGCCTGGTACGCAGCCGTCAGTGGGGGCCAGCCCCACGTTTTCTCCTCCTACTCCTCCTTTGTTGAGGAGATGCGGAGAGTCTTCGATCGCCCGGTGCGAGGGAGAGAGACGCCTGGTCGCCTCCTCTCCCTCCGCCAAGGTGATCGGAGCGTGGCGGAGTACTCGGTGGATTTCCGTATTCTGGCGGCCAACTGGGGTTGGAACAGTGAGGCTCTCCGGTGCATGTTCCTGGACGGCCTCAATAACCGGATTAAAGACCTGCTGGCCGTTAGGGACGCCCCGGAGGGTCTCGATGCTCTGGTCGAGGTAGCCACTGATCTCGACAACCGCCTGTGGGAGAGAGAGAGGGAACGTGTTGCCCGCGCTTCCTCCTCCTCCCGCTCCAGCCTCACACCGTCTCGGGCCTCTGCCCTGCCGTCCCCGCGCTCCGACTGGCCGTCCTGCCTGTGCCTCCTGCTCCCCCCGCACTCTCTGCCCCACCGTCTCCCGAGCCCATGCAGCTAGGCCGTACTCACCTCTCTCCGGAGGAACGCGAACGCCGCCGTCTCTCCGGGGAGTGCTTTTACTGCGGTAAACCTGGTCACT